GTAAATTCAAAGTCACCTGCTCCAGTAATGCTGCAGTTCTACGTTGCAAGGAGACCCAGGAGAGCCTCCAAACTCCTGACTGTTTTTACCTCACCCCTAGCCTTTTTGAGGTTTATTCATTACCAGTTATGGCATCATCTCTCAAACCATGACATGGGATTGTTACACGCTCACCAAACACATCAATCAGGAATACCTGCAAAATGACCAGAGGCTATAAGAGATTTAAAATGTGAAAATTAAGTTCTGGCCTGCGTTTGTGAGGGACTTCAACCAATTCTAACTGTATAACTTCAGAGTAAAGTACACATTTCTCAAAACCTGATCAACTTCACCTTGGACAACAGTTGTGACAATGCTTGCTTGTTTTACCCACTCATGATCTAGTGTTTATACCTTGAGGTCCTGTGGGCCTTCGCTGGAGTTGTACTTATACCCTACTGCTGTGAGGTTAATCGCCAATGTGCCTTTTGTAGTGAAACTAGCCTGTAGGTGTTCTGTTCTTTGACGGAGCATGTGGAGAACTGCCATCCTGGAGAATGGATGAATGAAACGATATATGAGTCAGAGGGCAACAATCAATCCTGAGAATTGTTGTGTGGTTCCTGTTGCTTGGAAACCATTTCCTTTGCTTTGTTGGCCCATGTTCTTAACAGCTGACACATTTAGAGTCTAGCTGTGAGGCAGTTCAAAAAGGAAGAAAAGCTGGAAAAACCTCCAGAAAGAAGAAAATGCAAAGATTTCTTAGAAACTAACAGACTGATTTGATTTCCTCTGTACCCTTACGTATTTAAGTATTTAGGGATTTTCTGTATGTGGGCTGGTTCAGGTTGCCATTTGTAAGGGATCTCTTTTGGTGCATTTACCCCTAAGACCTGACACATCTCTATCGGAAAGTCTTTCAGTTGAAAACAAGTGGAACACAGATCTACTGGGGGCAAGAATTACAATATATGGATACATTTACCAATCAGGCTTTTGGTATATTAGGAATTTGATTAGCATCCTAATATATCTATTTGCCAATATGCTGCATTAATACCTGGTTTACCATTTTATATGTCCCTGGAAATGGCTATTTTTCTGCTGTTCTCCTCAGCTTGTCCATTTACCATTCTTTCTTGTCTATGGTATGTACAGTTATTTGTTTTCTCAGTCTGGGAAGCTCTGTGGGTTTGCTCAGCCCACCTCCATGCTGC